TGAATTCTCAGCGTTTAATAATTGATATCAAGCCATCTGATTTGTCCTTAACTTTCCAAAGGTTTTTTTTATGTTTTGACTTGTGTTCATGGAGAATCTTGAGTAGCCGGAATAGAATGTATACTTTTACAGTTCGCCCCTCTCCCCTTACCTATACAAGGAACATCCATACGTTCGAGACCAAGATTCACGAATTGTGGGATCCAACTTTGTCCAGGTGAAACTTCACCATAAGCCACCAATCTGACCAGATATCAATTGATTTCAGGTGACATCTCGTCCAAAAGATCGATTTCTCGAGAAAGTTGAGCAGACGCTGGCTGAAGTGAGGGCAATGCCGAGATACACATGAGCACAGATGCTCACTCGCAGCAGGCGTTTTCGGCGAAACCCATCTGTCGTCTCCAAAAAATGTAAAAATCAAGTCGTCGAGCTTGCAGAAATTGTAGCCTATGCACTGCTTACTTACATACTACACGGGAGCACGCAAAAATAAAGATTTGTTTCTCTGCAGTTGGTATCAGGACGTAATGGAAGTTGAGCAGTGTTAGTAGAGGTTTTATGTAAGTCGCTCCGAGAAAATAAAACAGATTGGTAGAAGACAAGTCAGCACAAACTAGATAGTCTTGTTTACGTGCACTACAACGCAACATAAAGACGGTGATAAAATTTATAGGACCGACTACAATGAAATTATTGTCGTTTCTAACAGTTTACAGTTTTCTTACCTTTCCTCTATCTTACCTACTTATCTTACATGACCTAAGTATCCAAATTATAGAGCGCTATCAATAATTAGCAGCACTTCACCAACCAAAAGATGTTTGAGCGAAGACTTTGAGCTAGCAAAAGTGATAATCTGGTTCCAACATCAAATCAAAATTATTCAAAATATTATCATTTGAGCTATCTCGGGATTCTGGTTCTGGTTAAAGTTGTAGACAAAACTGACATATTTGCTTAAGGAACTGAAAACCAACGCTATCATGGGATCTAGTTTATTTGATTTTTTCTTAAGTACTTGCAATCTCGCATATAATTTATGAATAATATATACTTTCGAAAACGACAACCAAAGCTCTGCAGCAGCTTACGTTAATGAATAGTGATAATAATACAGCGCTAATTTGATGTTCGTATAGAAGAGATAGTAATAGATCCACTGCACAAAGTACCTATGGATTTTGCCAGAAATAACTCTTCGCTTATAAAAATTTTCTGTTTTTTTTTTTCAGAACACTTCTATAGCTCTGTAGGTTCCACAAAAGTTTTTATGCTCGTTCTGCTAATGATCCGGTTTCTGTAATTCCACCGATAACACACAAAATTATTCGACAGGCAATATTCAGTTCTAACAAACACTTGAAAAAACGCGAAGATTCAAACTTTAGCAACGGAAACCACTTCAGAACTGAAGAGCTGCTTCCAAAGAATTCGTTAGCAGTGTGCGTTATTCACACTTAGAAAATACGAGCATTGTATGAGGTTCCATTTCTGTAGCGAAGACTGTCAACTACCAAAAGTAACAGTCGATTTGTTCCGTCAAGATGTGGAGAAAAGACAATTCAGGAAAAGGATACGCCAAGGGTCAGCAGGGAAAAACGTATGCATGGCAAAATATCATTTGTTTATGCATGAACACTAAGTACATATTTAGGGGTAAACAAAATTTTACCTACTCCTTATTTGAAAGTTCTTAGCTGTGGTACCTCGATTTAGAAACGCTAATGTCTCTTCACTAACCGATGTTGCCATAATTTTACATTGGATATTCCCCCAACACATTTGATTGCACATATTTACTTGTATTTTTGAAATAAATGCAGGAATGCGTGTTAGTTTGCAAGATCCCAACAATGCAATATATTCGCTATAAGCTTCTATGCCCATGATCATGTCCCTCTCAGCGTTTTACACATTATTTACACGAATACGTAAGTGTCACGATCTGCACAACTCACCATTTTCGATTTTGTTGACGCGAAGGTGACTGGCAATAGTAATAGTGTCAACAACAGCATGGTTTCTCCTGAAAACACTTATTTAGCAGCAGATATACATCGAATAAGCTGAAAGTTTGCGATATTCAACGAAAGAGTTAGATAAAGGTAAAACTTTGATGATTTCCTTAACTTTACATGCGAAGAGTTATAATTATAGCTGATTCATTGGAAAATTTAATGAAGGAATACCGAATGTTCGTTCGTAAGCAAAACTTCCAAACGAATGAATATTATTCGAATGGCCTTGAAATATCATTCGGATATTCAATTAATGGGGTCCTTATACTCGGCTACTCGAATGAATGAATAATTAGGCATGAACAAATTTTCGAATATTCGAACAATACAATGAGTGCGCATTTCGAATATTAGACTATTCGAATAGTAAATCATCCAATTATTCGAATATTTCAGTCAAAACTACGCAATCCCAATCATTTTATGATTTCGATACTCGATGAATATTCGATGATTTCGAGGACATTTGAACGATCGAATATTATTCAAATCTCAATTCTAAGCTCGAGTACTCGAATTTTGATGTTTCAAAATATTCGGCTGTTCGAATAATCAATAAATGCTCTTCTTCGAATTTTGACCATTCGGAATGTCGAATGAATGCGCATTTTCCGAATATTCGAACTTTGAACATTTGATGTATCGAATGAAATATTCGAAAGTTTCGAACATACGATATTCGAAATGTTCGAGCATTTTCGAACACGAATATTTGGTGTCAACCGTAGTTATAATGACTGGGTTGGAAGCAAAGGGCGAAGATACAAAGCGGTATTACAACAAAATAGATAGCATAGAATTAACGTTGGAACATTCGA